ACACAATTGTGAATAAATAAAAAGCTTATTTATTTTTCTGGTAATCGACAATCTATTATTTCCTTCATAAAAATTAACAACCTACTTAGCCTAAATTGCCGATAAGGTAACCCAAATTACAAGAACTTATTTATCTGCCAGACTTCAGAAAAGAAGATTCTCATTTCTGCTGCGGGTGTTTACTGTACCGCAAAATAACAACTGAATAGAACTACACCGTCTATTTAACCGAGATTTCACTAGTACCATTATAAACCGGTGCACCATCAGTTACAGCAAAATTTGTTCCATGCGTTCAGCTCAAAATTATTTGTCATAACAGTAGCCTTGCAACTCTTCAGAACCTTTAATTTATTTGAATTGCCATATGTTGCAGCTCTTTTGTCTCGGGCTAGGTTCCATGGTTACTTTGTTTGTTCATTGTTTTCCCAGCCAATCCCTATGAGGTTGCCCAGTATACACTAGACCATGTGGTCCCTGGCTCGTGCCCAGACCTTTAGGAAGAGGGCAACACCACATCTCCCTTAATTCCCTACAATGAGCAAGCCAGGCAACATCTTCTCTCCCCTACAGTAAATGAAAGATTACAATTTGAACAAAGGGAAATAATGAGTGGTAAGAAAACTAACTTAAGATGATAAATATTTTTATGCAAGACACAGAAAAAATCGTTATCGGACTGACTTAATAATACCTGAAGAATAACTTTTTATAAAATAACTAAGATAGTACGCGCGCTCTGATTGGCCGAGAGGAGTGTTTGCATGAGAGTATGTAAACATGGTTGTGGCGTCAAGTTGTTTGGCTTTTCGCGCGCTAATCACGCAAGCACAAATTTGAAATAGTTTTCGAGTTCAAAACTCAAAAAGTTTACTTTATTTACCCATTCCTTCGTCGGCTGAAACTTGGAAAATCGTTACAATGAAGGTGTGTACATTTTCCTTTGCTTAAGCTGACCGTTTTAAGCGAGAAAAATCCGTATTTTGCAAAGCATCTTTTTGCAAAACAAGAACTGATTACGCGTGCAAGACTTCGTGGACAAGATTTTGCGCCTGGTAAGAATTTCTCTTTTAATCAGTGCCATACAAAGAGTTTTGTGTCTTTTTCTCGGGAAGGTTATTTTATAAAAGCAATAGAAAACTTTTTTCCTGTGTTTGCATAGCCTGATATAAACACTCGAGGCGTTGGGAGAATTCTCGACAGTTATGCAAACCCTCGACTTCGTCTCGGGTTTGCATAACTGTCGAGAATTCTCCCAACCCCTCTCGTGTTTATATCAGGCTATGCAAACACAGAAAACGTTTTCTATTGCTTAAATAACGTAGGGTAAATTTTACTTGACAATAGCGGCCATTGTCGCATCATTTCAGGTTTCATGCAATACTATTTGGTGTGAACTTTGACTTGTACAGTGTACAAGAAATGAAGCATAAAAAAGTCTTAGTTATCAAAGATTATCATAATAATACCGATCAAGAAAGTCAACCGGCTCACAGTGCAAAGCACAGAAAGTTATTAAGTGAGCTGTGAAAACAAAACAAAACAAACTTAAAGCAATAAATAAAACAAATATAATAAAACCTCTATTCAGGGGACACCCTCAGGCTCAGGACCAAAGCAAGTGTCCCTTGAATCGAGGTTCCTTCTGATTAGAGGTTGGGCTGGGGTTTGTTAATAATTAACCAACAAAGACAGCATAAAGAAATCATTTGGACTTTAAGATGCCACAACGGCAACGACAAACAAAACGTCAAAAAGGCAGTAGGTTGAAATGAATAGGCAAAGCAACAACTCTGCATGTGCATCACGCTTTTTTGTACATTTTTTACCATCACTGCATGACTACGACAGGAAAATGCCAAATTTTACGTCTTATGGAGGACCTTAAGAAGCGACGGCTAAATTATCTTTCTCTTCCTCAGGGGTGTAGCTAGGGTGTGGCCCTGGGGTGCCTGCGATGCCCCCTTTGTGAGATAATTGTTTAATGTCCCTATAATTCAGGTGGCCAAAACGCGCGAATCTGAATCTGAAGAATCAACATGCGATAAATCTTCCTGGATTTGTTACTTACTCCATTTGCAGGACCGAACATCTGCAGTGGACCATGTTCTTGTTCGTAACTAAAAGAGAGTAAGTGTTATGCTAGGTGGAACTTAATTAACCTATGCAGCTATTTTGTAGGCTCGTCCCTCCCCCCACCGCTCACTGCTCATCCGAATAAAAATGTTACTTTCAGTAAAACACGGCCTGGATATCGACATGCCAAACTGAAAGTGGTCTGGGTTTGACACAGTGTCACCCACCCCCTTCAAAAATCCTAGCTTCGCCCCTGTTCCTGAACTTGAATATGATTCTTAGGAATTCGGCTCAAAAACTCAAAAAGACTTCGCTTACATTTGACAAAAGTAAATGAGTTGGAGAAATGAGTTGGAGTAATCGCAATAGAGACTGCAAGAATGGAAATTCACCTTTTAAGCGACGTTTCCGTGGCCGTCACCGTCGTGGTATCTTAAACTCCCTATTGTTTTATTTATTTTGTTTTTATTTTCTTTTTTTATATAATTTAATTTAGTTTTTTAATCGGTAACACCTGTACAGAAATGGTAATACTGAATAAACTTGTTGTGGTTATTGCTATAATTATATGTTGAATTCACTCAAGTGCATTTCATTGATTTATGTGAAATAGTTCAGTTTGTGAAAGCTTCCATTTTTTGATTAGTGTGCACTTAATATCAGCCCTCTTTGCGGTCAGTGAC